TGAGGATAGGGTGTATATGGTAATCTGCTCTCACTATATATGTATGTCTCCCACGATCGCACTAGAATATCAGGATTTGCACAATCTTTGTGTTTTTTTTTTTTTTAAACTAAGACTTATAGTGACTTTTAGGTGTCTTTCTGTAACCCTTTCCTCCCATTATCTTAAACCTCTGCATTTTACAAATACATCAATTCTCTGGTAACACATGTGGAAAATTCTTTACATTGTACAGAAGCACACAAAGTCTTTAATGTCTCCAAACAAAAAGCCTTACATTTAAATTATGTTGGCACTTCATGTGCAACTTAACAGAGGGCCTGAAAAGGATGGGAGGGTTATTTAATATTTCTAGTAAAATGTTGCCTTTGTCTTGTGCAGGAAGTATAGATTATACCCTTTACTTTAGTAAATATTTTTTTAAAATGTAGAAATGCTTAGTTATTGTAGCTAAAACAATTCTTAATCAAAATTTCTGAAGATCTTGTAATTTCTTTTACTGTACCTCTTGAAAATTGTTTACCAACTATTGCGTTGTTGAAAGTGTGATTCCCCTCTTTCTGCTATCAAGTAGGCAGATCTCCTATAATATTTTGTATGCCTTTTGAGCTGCGTAACTTAATATTTGGATACTTGATAATTTGTTTTATTATGTAATTGATAAAATGGTGATGTGTATTAATGTTAGGTCAACCATATATTTATACTGTCTTGGGAATGTGTGGTTATAGTTCTGTGGGAGAAATAATATTGCCAGTGTTCACCAGCTTGTAAAATCTAGTGCGAGAGCTTAAACATCTAAAATAAATACTGAAATGCACTTCTTGAGTCTGCTGAAATATGTATAGGGCTTTTAGACTTGGATTTAGAAGCTTAACTTCAGGCACCCATTTACTTATCTTGGTCCAAGTGTTCTCACACATGTAAGAAGGTAAAGAAAATAAATGTATACCACATATTCATACAAAATAGCTGTCACTGAATGTCAAAATACTTGTCTTTAGGAAGGAATCAAATTTGAAGTAACTTCTTCAATGTTAAATTTAGAGCTCATGTTGCAAAGGTGACTGCAAATGTAAAGGAAAGCTACACTGGCTCTGTGTAGAGACACTTTGTTCCCTTGAGACCGGAAAAAAGTGTATCTAAGAATTGTAAAGAAATAACGTGAAATAGAATTGGGAGTTTATTCAGTTATAACACAATACAGAGTGTACTGTATTCAGTTTGCCATACAAGTACTAGAAAGTGATATTACTGTGATTGTTACATAACTGTGATAAAAAACATGTATAACTTAGAGCGTGCAAGTCCAGTCAGTCCTACTTACTCATCCAATAGCTAAGAAACGAGTTGGCTTACGTTTGCAGGAGATAATTTTTATCTTGTTGTTTAAAAGCAAGAACAGGTGTTCACATGGCACTTTTGTGGTAGGCATTACAATGTATTTACATGCCAGATATTAATATGTCCCCTTAAACATTGGCCACCATTCCAGAGAATATGCTTCCATGCTGTTAATGCTTGTTCTAAAAGAATGTGTTAATTACATTTGTGGCTTCTTGAGAGAGACTTGCATGTCTCCTCTCGTTTTCATTAAGAACACATCCATGAAAATACAAAGAATGTAGCAATGTTAGATTTCTGAAGACATCTATAGTACTGAAACCCAGAATCTGAGCAATGAGATGTGGACCATCTTTTTAGAAATCTTAAAAAAGCAATGATCTGACACGGAAACTACAGAATCTGAACCATCAAAAAAGAAAACGTCAACAAATGGTCCTGCAGCACCTTAGAGACCAACAAAAAAACGTAGATGGTATTGTGAACTTTTGTGGGCACAACCCACTTCAAATGAATGGAGTAAGGGGTCCAAGGTACAAATAAAATGCAGAGAGGGTGGTGGTGGTGGAGAAACCTTGTCAATTAGCATCTGTTCTAAATTAGGGAAATAGAGTGGGCTGTAGGTGCCTGGTATTTAGCTTTTGATGCCATTAAGGTATGGATGTCATTAAGGTGTGGAATGTAGTAAGCACGTTAAATATAGAGTAATTGAGTAGTCGATGGAATTTCCATCGACTACTCGAATAGTCAATAGACACCCCGCATTCCTCCTTTGAAAAGTACAAGAGCCTCCACTGGGAAATACTGCTGACTCCGGGCTGCATGTGTCTGCCAGCTTTGAAATGTAGAAGAGCTCCCAGTGAGGGAGCTCTTGTGCATTTCAAAGCAGAAGGGCCATTGTGGAGCCTGCGGTCAGTGGAGGACTCTGATTCCCTCGTTGACCCTGGACTCCATGCTGCGCTGCCACTTTAAAATGCCACGTGGAGGCTGGATAAACTTGGGACTCCCCAGCTGACTCTGGCATCCCGCATGGCATTTCCCCAGAACCCAGGATCAGCTGGAGATGCCCCAGCTGATCCCGGGCTCTGAGTGCTGCACTGGAACCCGGAATCAGCTGGGGAGTCCCCAGCTGACCCCAGGCTCCACACAAACGTTGCTGTGGCGTTTCAAAGTGGCAACGCTGCACAGAGCCTGGATATGAGCTCCGTGCGGCACTGTCGCTTTGAAATACGCCCTCTTCTCTCTCTTCCCCTCCTAGCCCCTTTTGCTGCCTTGATCTGATAAAGGTAGCAAGGGGGGAATCGACTAGTTGACTCAATTATCTGATAAGCAAATGTTTATCGGATAGTCGACTAGTCCTTAACATCCTTAGACTGTAGCGGCCCATCCAGTCAGGGTTTTTGTTCAAACCTTGATTACAGGTGTAAAATTTGTAAATGAAAGCAAGTTCTGCAGTTTCTCTTCAGCCTTGGCAAGTTAAAATATTACCCAAAAGGTTTCTGTATGTTACCATTTTTAATATCTTATTTGCGTCCATTAATCCTTTGTCATGGACATTGTCCAGTTTGACCAATATACATGGCGGGGGACATTGCTGGCACTTGATGGCATAGATCACATTAGTAGATGTGCATTTGTATGAGCCTATGATGTGGTGTCTTAAGTGGCTAGGTCCTGTGATGATACCACTTATATAGATGGTGGACAGAGTTGGCACTGGAGTTGATTGCAGGGTTGAGTTCCTGAGTGAGTGTGATGGAGGTGTGCTGCATGGTTGCTGGAAAGAACTTGTTTCAGGTTAGGGTGCTGTCTGTAGTAAGAATGTTAAGGACTAGTCTTTCTCCCTCCCCCCCCCCCCCCATTGCTGTGCAAAGGGGGGGGAAGAGAGGGTACTTCAAAGCAGCAGTGCCTCATGGAACCTGTACTAAGCTTCCTGTGGCATTGCCTCTTTGAAACACCAAAACACCATTTCAAAGGTGCAGCGCTACACAGCTGAGCCCAGGATCAGCTCTATGGTACTACCTCTTTGAAAACACAGATATGGCATTTCAAAGCTGCAACCGTGTAGAGTCCGGGGTCAGCTGGGGACTCCCCAGCTGATCCCAGGTCCCAGCACGGCATTTCAAGCATGCAGAGCCCAGGGTTAGTTGGGGAGTCCCCAGCTGACCCTGGGCTCCATGTGGCATTTCAAAGCGGCAGCACAGCATGGAGCCTGAGGTCAATGGGGGATTCTGTTTCCCGCTGACTCAGGCTCCCTGCAGGTGCTTCTGCTTTGATATGCACAAGAGCCCCTGCTGGGGACTCTTATACATTTCAATGCTGGCATGCCTGCATGCAGCCTGGAGTCAGTGTGACTTCCCACTGGCCCTGAGTGCATGCGGAGTTCTGCATTCCTCCTTTGAAATATGCAAGAGCCCCCACTGGGGCTCTGGTACACTTCATTTCACAGGAGGAATACGGAAGTGCCTATTGAACAGTCGATGGAAATTCCATTGACTACTCGACTAGTAAATTACTCGGTATTTCACATCCTTAGTCTGTGAGGAATCCCCTGTCCCCCAAGGCCTGTGAGATTTGAGGGGTCACTTTCCAGGATAAGTTATATATTGTTAATGATGCACTGGAGGGGGTTTAAGCTGGCTGTAGGTGATGACCAATGGTTTTTGTGTTGTGTTGTTTGTTTGGACCTATGTTGAAGAATTTGATGCCTAGGTACTAGTCTAGCTCCATCAATCTGTTTTCACTTCCCCGGGTGGGAATTAAAGTTTTAAGAATGCTTGATAGAGATCCTGTAAGTATTTGTGGTATTGGAGCAAAAAGAAAATCAACCTTCTGAATCATCTGAATCAGGTGATGAAAATGAACAAGCATTGGTTTGTGTTACCAAGCAAAACCAGTTAGCCTGGATGTATGTCCTCTGAAGTGGTGGTTGAAGCAAGAGGGACAAACTTGCGCACAACTTTTTTTTTTTTTTTCGCGCGTTGCTCTTTACAACACTACCATATGAATGCCTGTGTTCACTTTTAGGTGATACTGTACCTGGATCAGAAGCTGGAATCTCTTACCAGTCATTCTCTTACCAGTCACACATTTTGGGCCCCTGAGTTTGACAATGACTAGAGCCTTGTGCAGATAGAAAATTGGTATCGGTATTTGCTTTTGGAAAAATGATTTGCAGACATCCATATCTGCAGGTGTGGATACCTGCAGATATCTGGATTTGCAGGGCTCTAACAGGAACCTTGGGAATGTATATCCATTTCTTCCTGTTTTTTTTTTTTTTTTTTTAAAGGGGGGAGGGGGGTGGTAATGTTTTTGCATGCATTAGGTCTGTTGCACAATTTAAAGCTCTGATCAAACTTGGTATGTATTCTGCATTTTCTTGAAGAAAATTGGAACATTTAGATGCCCATAAAAATGGGTGTCTAAGGCAATTTTGTACCTATTCTTGCCAGACTACAAAGAAACTTTGAAAGATTACATATAGATAAATGAATAAAATGATTAACCAGTAATCCTGCCCCCCCCCATCCCCTTTTGCTTTCTCTGTATCAGAGGCAGCAAGTGGGGGGGAAGCAGGAGCTGGTGCCCATGAAGAACTGACTTTAAGCAGGCTCTCCACGAGCACCTGATCTG